GACGTCCATCCCCGTGAACACTGGGACGCAACTCAATGGGAAAGGAAAGGATTCTGATTTCAACCATTGCGTATATTAGCTGTGACATATAAATCAAGATGCTATGACTGAAAAAATATGATTGATATATGATTGGCCGAATTTAGGTGTTCAGGCTGACGTAGAACTAACTGGCCTGCTGAAGATAATGAAAGAAAAACATATTTTAAGACATGATTTTTTTTTAAATAGAAATTTTCTAAATTTTGGGACAATATGTTCTGGTGAAGAGTACATTTATATACATGTTTAAGCCAGAATGATTTGACATTTAAATATGACTTCCCTATAACTTTAAAATTCCCAGCTTGCAAAGATCAGTGCAAATTGTTAGGGTTATAATGCTCTAATCTTTGGGCAGTATTTCCACTTTTGGTTTTGACATTTTTCTGCATTTTTTTCTTCTCACACACTAAAGAGCCCTTTTTTTTCACGTTTTATTACATTTTGTTTGTTTTTGCTTTGTTTACCGTCTGTTTGCTCTTGCTTAAAATAAAAGGTTTAAAATTTGAAATCAAAACTTTGAATAAGGATATCATCGCAATTTTATGTTCTCTATTTTTTTTTTTTGTAGGTCATAGTGTGATATATATGGTGTATCGCTATATAGCCCAAAGATAGGGCGATATTAGATTTTCTTCATATCCCCCAAGCCTATTTTAACGTTTAGCTGTACAGAGCAGAGTAATAAAGCCTTTCTAACTGGCTTTAAATGAAAATAAAAAGCAACAACACATAAAAGCGGGTACTTACTGAGGGTAGGCGAACTCTGGTGGTATTTCTGGTGCTGCTATCATTTCTGTAACATCTTCTGGTTAACGTCAACTTTACAACTGACTTGAGATTCTTCGCAAAAAAACAGATAGGGGGGGTTGCATGTGACCTGGGGAGTAGAAAAAGATTTCAAGAACCACTCAGTGTCATCGTAATAAATACCTCAAATAATACCATCAAACACATAGAAAACCATAACAAGATAACATCAAAGTCTCTGTGGGGAGCAAACAATTCATAGATGGGGGAGAAAAAAAAAAAGTTTCACATGGTAACAGGGGGCGGACACAAACGCTACTGTCATGCCTGCTGTTCTCCTATTGGCTGCAGCTTTCATCTTTGCTCTGGTTAGAGGAAAACGTCATACATGGAAGCTGAGGGTTTCATCCTCCATGACCAAATATGGCACTGTCCAGTCCGCCCATACATATGAAAACCAATCAAAGGACAGGATCAACATCAACAGGCCACAGAAAAAAAAAAGCATTGCATGATCTGAAGTAGAAATTCATGCACATCACATAGAGTGAGCAGAACTTTATATGTTTTGATTGTTGTAAGTAATAAATGCAAACGTTTCCTTAGATCTGAGAGGCACTGATGAGAAATGTGCTCAGTCCCGGGAGGGAAAACAAACCCCCCCATTAAGAGGGGTAAACTTATAAATATGTAGGTAAAAAAAAGATGTGAATTTAAAGAAATTATTGCAATAAAATAAAGCAATCCTGGTGTTTTACATCAACAAAGCTGCCCAACAAAGAATATGATTGTATAATATTAATGCTCAACATTAGCTTTAAAGAAGCACAGGTGTGAACGGAGGAAAACTGCCTTTAGGAGCATTTGTGTGACTTTATGAATCAATAGTTAAAGCAATATTTCTAAGGTGATGTTATTACGTGCGTTTCGCCCCGCTCGTGATGGGGTCCTACCTGACAAGCCCGCACGGTTCTCTGGGTGTAGACCGAAAAGTGGCGCCAAATCGGACAGCAGCGATTTATAAAGTTACAGAGAAGCGGCGGAGTCTCGTTTAGAAAACAGCGAAGCCGTGAAACCAAAGCCAGAATCAACCGAATCCGGAGCTGGTTTCCAAAACCCCGCCGGCTCGGTTCGCTCCCACCACGCCGCCGCCGCTGCGCTCTCCGTCGGCTGCTGTCAGAAATTGACGCCGGTGCGCCGCTGATGCTAGCGCCGCCAGCTAACCCACCGTCTCCGCGTCTTTTCCTCGACGTCAGCTAGTTGAGACCTGATGAACTGAGCATGCACGACTCGGCAAAACCTCACCGTTTGTTTACGATTAAACCCGAATGAACAAACATTAACCAAGTATTTTATCCAGATTAGCAATATAGAACATCGCTACGTCTATAAAACCAGATCATAACAACAAAACAACGTAAGCTCTACTGTAGTAGCCTGAGCTAAAATATAGAGCCATTACAGAATGACGCTAAATAGGTGTTTCTCTATGGGCATTAGATGCCTGGTGAGTGCATATCACACATAGACAAGTTTCCCTCTAATTAATAAAGTATAAACAGTCAAACAGGAAACAACAAGCTGAGAACAAGTATCGCTACTTAGCTAGGTTAGCAGCTAGCGCTAGCCTTACCTAAAAAAAACATCACGTCCTTGCGTCCTCCATCTTGCCTCGGGAGTTCCAGTACCGTATTGCATAAGCAGCAAACACTTTGTTTACAAATAAATAGCGGATTTGTGGACATGTAAGACAATTAAAGCGCCTCTTTATTTTTAAAATCGTTTAATTACAGCAGTTGTGCCGAAAATCGACCAAGCTAACCTGCTAGCGACCATATTAGCCGTGTACCGCGAGCTAGCGCAGCGACTGGGTTCAGGCAGACATCCGCGCTCTGGGCTCCTCCACAGCTAGCCTGGCTAGCAAAATACAAATCAACTAAGTTCCACATAGCTCTCCGCCATTTTACGGCTAACTTACCTTGTTGTACTGTGTTGTTGGGGCACAATCGTAACTTTTATTATTCCTAGACAGTTTCTCCCTCCAACCCGCTGGAAATCTGTTTAAAAAAGAGTTTAAAAGTCGCGGTCAGAGGCAGTTTCGGACGTTCTCACCCCGCTCGCTCCGTAGTTCGGTTTGTTGTTTCGACGACCTAGGAGGAGGAAATCCTGGTGCAGAGCTGCCACCTAGCGGCCACATCGAACCCGTTAGAAACAAAGCCGATGGCCTGACACCTAGTGGTTGCTGACAGGTACTGCATCTCGATCGTACGTGGCTGATAGAAAAAAAAAACTTTTGTCATAATATACAAAACCATATAAAAAAAAATACAGAGCGTGTATAAAAGACAAAATGTAGTTTTATACAGCTTTCATGATATTTCCATTTCTTAAAGTGCAGCAGTGATCAAATGTAAATAGTGTGGGAGAAAAAAAATGGTGCAAAAAATGAATTAATGTGGAAATTCAGAGAATTAATATACATGGTGCAAACATGCAGTATTTTGGTTTGGTGTTATCAGATAGGCAGGGGTCTTCAATGTTTTCCAGGCCAAGGACCCCCAACTGATGGTGAGATGGAGCGGGGACCCCCTAATTATATATA